AAATCTTCGGCAAATATGACCGTTCCGTTTTATATAAGTAAATTTGTGCTTCCTAAGTGGATCCGAAATGAATGTTGTGGTGGCAAGTTCTAGGAGGACGAAATAGTAAAAGGTTGGCAGGGGAACTTAAAATAGCTACTAAATTGCACTCGTGACATTTAGCCACCTCAAATATAAGAAATGCTTTTGTGATATTCCATTGGGCATTGGTTCTATGCATCAAACCGTAGCCTGGCTCTCTAATAAGCGGTTACTAAACAAAAACATCTGATTGATTAAACAGAGTTTTTGCCTTGCACATTGCTACTTTCGGTGGCTAATAATCGGAAATAAGGAAACACGCCTCCAGGCACCCAGCTGAATTTTTAGTCAGCACTTTGTACTCTAATGATGAGGATCATGGCGAGAATTCTGTTTCGTGAAGGATCCAGACTGCAAGTACAACAATGACACTCCAAATTTTGTACAAAAGATGTATCGACGCATTCCTTAGTCCAGATTATTGCACACAACCGTTTCTGTCTGCTTCGGAGTACTTGATCTATTAAGGAAGTAACTAGATAGGTGTTCTGCAGAAGGAACTTACAAAGTAAGGTTTTCTGGCTTTTGATTTTGCCTCACGATAGACGCATAAATCATGAGTAGTAATAGTGCACTGTTAGGCAGGTTTACCACTGCCTCAATACATACATGTTTGTGGAACTGTACTTTTTATTTAACCTACACGACAAAGCCTGCTTACACACCACATGATATACACCACATGATCCACGCTCATGTCAAAGCAGCATATGACCACTAACCAATGCAGGCGAGCGAATCGAAGCACTTGACAACCATAGGCAAGTGAGATGCACTTTGCCTCGCATCCACTGATTGTCACAGCAAGACGCATTACAACACAACTGAAACAACCGGACAACGGAGGTGTACCCTTCCGCTCACGTACTCAGTGCTCGACTCAGTGCTCCATCGACGCAACAGCACTGCAATCTGAATTGGACTCACAGTCATGGTACAAGTACATAAGCCACTTGCATATATCAGTATTGTCTGTACTATACTATTATGTGTATTAGTGTCTAGCCTTCTGATTTTGCAACCAGTCACGAGTTAAGTGGCACTAATATGAACTATTGATATGCATAAAACTGTACAGAAACTGCAGTCGGCTGATCTGTTCACAAATAAGATTCAATTTTATTTGTCTTGTCCCCAGTTAGATCTAAAATCAATATGCATGCCAGCCCACCGACTCCCGCGACGTGCGTTGTTTGCGCGCCGGGGATGTGGATGGAAGAAGAGGAGGGGTGACCAAGCGATGACTTGGTCCAGAGGAATGAAGGCCCTCACTTCTGAGCTCGCCTCGGTTGGAGCGTCTCGGCTCCCTGGTTGGGGTCCGAAAGACGATGAACGCGTTTGGTTGGACACACTTGCTGATATGGCTAGGAGTCGACCTTAGTGGCGTTCGTGCTGTGAGTTTCTTTGTCCCACCCCATCCCTCTTCGCCTCCCCCTCCAACCACGATCTCATCATTTAACGTTTTATAATTTTACATAGTAATGTTTTTGGTACACAGCAGCCGGCTGGTAGCTTACCGGAACGATGCCCATCCGTTACCGGTAGCTCAGCCAGCGTGCACTAGTTGCTTTTTTTCGCCTTTTTTCTGTGTATTGCGGCACAGTAGCTGAGGTGTTCCCCACCTCTAGCTAACGTGTATGATGTATGATGTGGTATATATATATATATATATATATATATATGTATATATATATATATGTATATATATCTGTCGGTGTCCAGTGGTAATCTCAATCAGAGAAATGCAACCGAGAACAAGCAAAGCAAAGGCCTTAGAACAAATACAGGCCGAGTTCAGCGAACAGTTCAACTGATCCTAGAACAACCTGAGCTACCAAGGTTTTGCTTTTGTTTCCAATCCAGGCCGGTCAGAATGCGGCTTACGGAAACGAAGATCCATGGTTGAATAGAAGTAAAAGATGCGCTAAGCTGTGATGAACCCATGCACGGTTGTGATAGGCAGTGAGATACCATGTGTTGTGAGACAAAAAGGTGTACGAAAGGTGTACACATATGTGCGTACACGAGAGCTTGGTTACTCGTCGTCGTGTGCTATGAAGTTTGTGCATTTCAGCCATTTCCCTCTTGCTATGACTGAACTGTGAGATGGTTAAAAACAGTGTTTACAAGTCACACCACTTATTTACCTTCGTGATTGGTCACCTGCTTCCCTTGCCCCTTTTGGCCAAACTCCATTACATTCAGTTAACAGTGTAGTTGAGCGGTGTCTCTTCCAATCCATACTGATACAGCGTTCTACTTTTCTACCTGGCAAAGATTTTCTTAATCTTTTAACAGCTCGGATGATAGCCTGTAACCCAAATTGTCCTATTCTAAATTCGGTTTCAGCCTTAATTTGGATTTAACCATAAAGTGGACAACATGACTGACGTTTGGATGAGGAGGTTAGTTTTGATATAAGTAAACCGACTGTCCGTAAAGGGCACTGCACGAATGCAGCGTAACTCCTCCGAGTGAATGAATTAAGCCTTCTGCAATAAGAAGACTGATAATCCGGCACCCTGAGCATCATATTGTTCTCACCTATTTTGCTTGCGGTAAGAGTTTTCGGTGCTCTCATTGCGAAATTTGACCTCGGCTTACTTTCTTCGCAAAATGAGCTGCATTTGCTACATCTTATGTGGTATAATCATGCAGTTGGTCCGCGTAGCTCAGTTGCAAGGGGTTCTACCGGTCACAAGAGCTAGCGACGTAGTGTGAAGACTGTTCCAACATCAATGATTGATGAGCGCATAGTTAGTTCACCTACAATAACTTTAATATAACTAGTAGGCGATGCAGTTGAGAATGCACCCATCAGCTGACACAGTACCAATCAAATGAATGGTTAAATATTAGAGCAGGACGATTAACTGTAAATTCTCATACTTCCTGCGTTTCAAATAGGATGATTTTATTACGCGTTTGGCAGGACCTTACATTTGGGATTGGTGTGTCTTCGGTTAGGACAAAAACATAAATGCGAGTCCCTGTACTGAGGAGAGTAACTAACCAATGGAATTGAGGAGCAATGCTCGAGTGAATTAGCAAGATATAAACCATTTTAAGTTTAATCGCTTCAAAAATTCCTAATGTATAGAAACCGGAGCAAAGTGGACATCATGACACTGGAAAACATCCAACAATATTTCACAAACATATGTTTGAGCACACCAAACCTTATGAGTGACAGCGAGCGCTGAGATGCTCTAAAACTAGAGCCACTATGGCTGCGCAGACTCAACCTATCTATAATTTCTCTACCGCTTAATAGTTGGACTAAGCTTAACAGCTAAGCCATAACTCTGATTTCAGTCTCCGAAGCACTACGAAATAAGAAACAGTGAGCGTATGTTGCATGTAAAAGGTCTCGTACCAAGCTCCTGTCAAATTTCAGCTCATTAAAATTTGCATTTCTATGGAATAAACTGGTGTAAAGTGTCAAAAATTAGTAGATATCCAAAATCCAAACGGTTGTTTGATGTTTACCTGTATGCTTCAACTATCTTATCTACACAGTAAAACGATAACTCCAGATGATTTGTATGAAGAATGTCCTTGATAAACATGAAAGCTACCATATCCCCTCATTTTCCCAACATCTACGCATGGCTGAATTCCTTTGTATGTAGTTAAAAAAGATCAAATTCCTAACAACTGTTTTCCCCTGCCAAAAATATGAAGTGCATCTGCTCTCGTCAAATCAGTACTGTTTTCTTCTCCTTTGATGCCCCGGGTTAGAGATCTACTACGGCTTACATGCTGGATCTGATTCTGGCTCCAATCTGCATCTATTATCATTCACCAATTAGTATGTATAACGTTGGACCCCTTTCAATCGGAACTGCATCGAACAAACCCACCATTTTCAACGTATTGAGGATATCTCTCTCCAATTCTCCCTGGTGTCTAGAAATGTTCCATCGCTGAGAAAGGTTGGTTGGAATTTCATGAGCATTAGTAACTTGAAAACCATCCTGTTTCTCCTAAATTTTGTAAAATCCTAGTACATGAACCGATATGATGACTTTTTGCACTGTCACGGGAAGCGCTACTTGGTTAATTCTTTCACCGTTATTTTTAGTTTGTTATCTTATCCTATTTCATGCGGATCTTTCGTATTTTTCGTTGCTCACAACTGGAGCAGATCTCCTGAGGAGATGGTTTGAAGCTTCCAAACAGAATGTTATCTAATGTAAGGCGGAAAGTCAAGGACCCACTGGTGAATATTAAAAGTGTGATATATATACAAAAAGCTCATACATTCCGATCCGCTTATTACACATTTCGTGGCATATACCGCCAAATTAGGTGAATTCGGCTACCATCCCCACCAGAAACAATGATTGGCGAACGTGATGACTGGTTTCAGTGGCCAGAGTAGGAAAGAAAGCATAAATGAATAGTAAAATCGATGATAGCTAACATGCTTAACGCCATGCCAGCACACGACCAGATGGAATGAGGCGCGGACGGAAACTTTCGAGTGACTACCGCGAATGAAAATGGGTCCCAAAGAGACGGTTCCTCTAATGTTCCTAAAACTTCACTTTAACTTTCTTACTATACTGCTCTCTGCCTTGGATCTGTTATGCCTCTTGTTCCTTGTTAGCCCATCTCTATCCTCCTATTAGCTCACCGATACTACCCATTAATTTAATCCTTGGAGATGGTGATCTAGATTTTACTCGATGTGTCCGCCTTTTCTATCTCTATGCTAAAAGATATTTTTGTTGTCCACGTTTTCCCAATCACCCTGTGTTCAATGCTTTTGTACAAGTCTGTGATTCGTAGATCACGTCATAATGGGCATGTTTCGCACTGCCGAGAATAAACGTTTATTTATTTAATCCCCACACCGACCTAGAAATGTCCGAACGATGTCCCTCTATGGAACCAGCAGTGGAAAATCCAGATATAAGGAAGAGCGCAATTGGTGTATATTTCAAATAAATCAGTGCAAAGATATGGACGAGACGAAGCAATATGAGTTCGACAATTTACGATACTACAGTAAAATCAAGGGTGCACGAGGGTATCGAACAACGAACCTCCAAGAAAAGGAGATCAGATGGAAGAATACTATACATTTATGTACAAGGTGTGTGGATAAATTCATTCGTCGAATATGTCACTCAACTCCGCGGTCTGTTGTTCGATCTTCGCCGTCGTTTTGTGACGATCCACAAATTCTTTTAGTGAGCAAGCGACCGATGACCAATGAGTGTGACGTGTGGTGCTAGATTGGAAATGGAGAGAAATTACGCACTGACCCGATTCAGACCACACACATGTTGTAATCGTCCGAAACAACGTACAGCTACAAAACGTCATCGTGCCGAAGATAGAGGAGAAAAGCGGGAAACAAGTAGTAAACACAACTTGTGAAGAAACCATGTGGTAAGGCTATGTGAGAGAACGAAGCGAGAATCCCGAAATAACTTCCCCATGATTTTCAATGGGTAGGTTTAAGGCAGCCACAGGTATATGATACCGATGGACGAAGAGAATGGTTGTAACCAAATTACACTAATACATTTGACTATCGGGACAATCGGCAGATCTAAATGTGGCTCAAAAGCGGAAATGAGGGACTTCAGATCGGCTGACAGCGGTTTGAGGTATGTACGAGGTTGTGAAGGATGATGTTGACAAAACGCAGGGAGAAAAAGTCGGGGTCAAAGCAGATCGGGAAGCGCTAACCGCTACCAACTACTACACGTGTGACGTTGCATAAGACAGGAGCTTCAACATCGAAAACCGATAATACACTCGACTTAGTGCACTAAACAAACAGTGGCAAAGATAGATTGCATCAATCTCAAAGCTTTTCTCCCAACACCTTTTACTCTTCTAAGTTAGGTGATCACTGGGCGTGACGGAAATGTTCAGAAGCAGAGCAGAACAGGTATAGTAGGACTAAGCTGAAAACCTTGTTGTATCGATAGGTCTAATTGAAAATCTCGTCTCATGAATAGCTAGAAAGATTAGGATAAATAGAAGTTGCAGACCGAATTTTTCAATCTAAAAGTTTGCCGATGCGTCAAGTGTAGTACTGGCGATTCGGAAAAGGGGTAGATGTGCTTTCTGGAATAACGGTTTGTGTGAAATAAAACTTATTCAAACCACAGGTATGTTGGTAGTCGTGAAATTGAAACAAGTGAGTCGTTTGTGGCCACGTATGTGACTACAATACTGCGCCAGATCGATGGTTTCCGTAAAAGAAAATATAATCACGCGCGGTACAAGAATTTGGGATAATAAATGGCGATCAATTCGACAAGGAAGCAGAGTTGACCTAAGCAAAACGTATATACAAAGCATCATGGACAGGAAAGTAGCAAAATGCTCCCAATTATTCGGATAAGCTGTAGAAAAATGTTTAGGTGTTCAAAAGAGAAAATAAAGATGTTTTCCACATAACTTAATCGGATGCTTGCCTGATTGACACTTCGCAAAATGCCGTAGAACATCAAGTATCGTTCTGCAAAAGTCAGGTAGGACGATATTCCTATTAGCACCAAAAATAAGAAGGGCTTCTTGATACTATCCGAGCAGGCTCTCATGATATCAACAATATCCAGTTGGAGGGTCAATTTTGCATGCAAGCCTCATGCTGTAGTTTCCAGCTCTCCCCTCCCTGCATGCGGTTCAGTGACTAAGCATCCCAGGAGCCGCTTATGGTTAGATGACAGTAAATGGGTGGTAAAAGAAAAGCAGACGCAATATAAAAGCACTGCACTGGCGAGCAACATCTACTTGGCCTGCTAAGCAACTGATGTAGTAGGTAGGTAATTGGTGATAGCTACCGTACGGGAGTGAATCAGAGACTTAACGACAAACGGATTGTGCATGGTAATTAGTAAAATATACAGGTTCGTCAAGCAGTCTGCGTCTCTTTTGCAGTGCAGACGTGTGCGCTGACCCATGGGGTCCGGTAGGAACACAACTATTTAGCCAAGTTACTATGGCAGCAGTTCCGTTATCTAGTCAGTAAAAACAATGGAAGCAAACAATGGAAGCAATGGAAGCTAACAGTTTAGTGCCACAAAAGGTGGTTGGCGACCACAGAGACGAAGTGCCTTGGGTGATCGATACAGTGCGCCTTTTGAGACGATCTCTGTAAAACACTGATCGAAAAGAACCGGGCTCAGTACAATGACCGAAAAACTAAGGACACGAATCGCTGTATCAAAGAATGTAAGCACGTTAGCTGACATTAGCAGCTCATTCAGAGTAGCAGGTCTACAGCATGCAAATGCAGGGGCAGAGAAAAGGAGACAATCATGACATTTACCACGAACCGATATGTTTGGATGAGGACCCTAATCGTTCTCCTGTCTAGGTCTGGGCGCCCTGGCAGTATCCCAGCTCACATACAACCATGACATTTTCTTCAAACATAAACTTCATCCTGAATCGGCCGTCGCGCAGATTATCAAAAGTCGCCTTATCTGCTGCATACAGCAGGGCGGATAAGCGAAAACATGCTACTGCTGGCGCCTCCCTTCTTTCTTTTCCACCTTTTTCTCTTATTCCCATCCCGGCCCCCATTACTAACCTTCCTTCTATAAGTCCCAGCTTAATTGACAGCAACCGAAGTGCTACTGGAGTAGAACCATCTGCAACCACCATCCCACAGCACCTATCGGACGCCTATCGGCAAAAGTTCCTTATAAGGCCACGCTGTCCCGTTTCTATGGCGACATTCAACGTCCGCACTCTAAGACAAACAGGTCAGCAGGCTGCACTCGCACGCACCTTGGACACACTGGGTGTTGATGTGTGTTGTGTGTCCGAAACTAGGATTAATGACCCTAACGGGGTTATTGAATTGACTGCACCCAGCTTATCCTCTCGTTATTGGTTGCACGCATCCGGAGACGCCGATGCGGCACTCACGGGTCAAGCTGGTGTAGGTATCATTCTCAGCTCCAAGGCTGAGTCATCGTTGGTTGATTGGATTCCCGGTGAACAGCCGTTTATGTGCAGCCCGTTTGACGACATCAGCTAAGGTGAATTCGCGAAGTAAAACAAAACGCTGTTTGTTTGTGATTTCTGCTTATGCTCCCACCGACTGCAGTTCTAATGCAGTCAAGGACACTTTCTATCACAAACTGAACACGCTGCTACGCAGTGCTACTAGTTCAGATATTATAGTACTTGCAGGGGATATGAACGCACAAGTAGGGTGTCTGAGCTCTTCAGAAGCTCAGCTGGGTGGTAAGTATGGACTTAACGCTGAACGGACTGACAACGGCGAGCGTCTGCTGTAACTGTGTGCGGAGTACCAGTTGTTTCTTACTAGCACTGCTTTTAGACACAGTGGGCGCCGAAGTGCCACTTGGCATCCACCTGTAGCTGGTCAGCGATGGACCCAAATTGACCACATAGCCATAAGTTACAGGTGGCGCGGTTCCATTCTGGATTGCCGCTCGTACTGGAGTAGCTGTGTCGACTCTGACCATGCCTTGGTGCGCTGTCGTTTCTCCATGAACTTTACCGGAAGGCGCACAAAGCGTCTCCCCCGATTGGCAACGGAGAAATTGTCCCAGCCCCCTGTCAGGCAAGCCTATCAAGAAGCACTGCATAGCGAACTCTCGCTGTCTTGTCCTAATGATACTGAACTTCAGTTGAATAGGATCTCGGCCACTATGCACGACGCAGGAGCATCTGCTTGTGGCACTATCAGTCGTCATCGCACCAGTCACTGGATATCCGAGAGGTCCGTGAACCTTTTGGATGCTAGAAGGCACCTGTCGGCTGGTTCGGAACACAATGTGACCAGACGGGCTATTAGGCGTGAACTAAAGCGGAGCCTACGTGCTGACAAGGAAGCCTGGTGGACCAGTCGGGCTCAAGAAATGGAGGAGGCATGAGCATTAGGCAATTACCGGAAGCTATTCCAGCTAATACGCACCACTGGTCCGAGAAAACCAGGCGTCAGTGAGACAATCAGGGACAGCGCGGGTGCGCTGATACACAATAAGGAGCGCCGTATGGCTCCTTGGGCTGAGCACTTTGAACATCAGTTCAGCTGGCCCCCTGCTCCCGGACCTCTTCGTACTCAGGTGATGCAGGACGAGCCATGGACGGTTAGTTTAGAGCCCCCGTCGGAGGCCGAGGTCCGAAACGCGATCACAGCCCTCAATCGTTTTCGTGCCGCTGGCCCGGATTCCCTACCACCTGCACTATTTAAGGATGGAGGTGAGGTCCTCTGTAAAGCACTGACCTTCCTATTCGAACGTATCTGGAACGAAGAGAGTGTGCCGGCTAATTGGAGCGAATCGATTATAGTGGCAATATACAAGAAGGGCAGTCGCACAGACTGTGCGAACCACAGGGGTATTAGCCTAACGCCAGTTGTGACAAAATTACTGGCCTCGATTATCGTTCGTCGCCTCACTGCAGAACGGGAATCTCGGATTAGAGAAGAGCAGGCCGGTTTTCGCCCAGGACGTGGCTGTATAGACCATATATTTACTTTGCGGCAGGTGCTAGAGCAGCGCCACGCAAACCGCAGACCGACAATAGCTGTGTTCCTCGATTTCAAGAGTGCGTTCGATTCAGTCGATCGGTCGATTCTGTTCGAAGTACTTGCGCGAAAAGGTGTTCCCACGAAATATGTGAACATCCTTCGTGCTCTATACTCGAACACTACAGGCCGCGTCAGGGTCTATGGTGCCCTATCGGATAGCTTTTCGACTACAAGTGGCGTTCGACAGGGTTGCCCGATTTCCCCGTTTTTGTTCAATTTCGTCGTGGATTCTATCATGGAGTGTTCCCTTGCGGAATCTCACGATGTAGGTGTTGAAGTGCTGCCTGGTGAAAGGTTAGTTGATCTAGATTATGCGGACGATATCGTCTTGGTTTTCGACAATGTTGAGGCGGCACAATCAACCCTGAATAGCCTATCCAGAGTGGTCCCATTATTTGGTATGCACTTCGCACCTTCAAAGTGCAAAGTGTTGCTGCAGGACCACCAGCCACTCGATGACCCCTTGACGCTTGCTAACGAGGAACTCGAGATGGTTGATCAATTCAATTATCTTGGCAGCTGCATCAGCAATGATGGGCGCATAGAAACTGACGTGAGCTCACGCATTGCAAAGGCCAGAGCTGCCTTCTTGAACCTGCGTCATCTTTGGCGACAGAAGGGAGTTTCCCTCCGTCTGAAAGGCCGTGTATACAAGGCCACAGCGAGGGCCGTTCTGCTCTATGGTAGTGAGACTTGGCCCCTTCGGTCTGAAGATCTGAGGCGCCTTCAAGTCTTTGATCATCGTTGTTTGCGAAGCATTGCTGGTGTCGGATGGCATCAGCGTGTCCGCAACTATGATGTGCGTAGGCGAGTACTAGGTGGTGATAATCATGATAGCTCCATAGAACAACAGATAGCACTGAATAAGTTACGTTGGCTCGGGCACGTGCTACGCATGCCTGTTCACCGTTTACCTAGGAGGGCCTTGTTCAGTCTACCAGGTGTCGGATGGCGCAAGGCTCGAGGTGGACAGAAGTTGACTTGGCAGCGGGAAATAAGTCACTGACGACCAAACTGGGTGCCGTTGGTCCGTCTCGCCTTCCGGGTTGGAGTCCACGTGACTCACCTTGTGCTTGGCTCGAGACTTTACAGGACATGGCTTGCAACAGACACCAGTGGCGCGTCTGCTGCCGTCTCCTAATCGGATTGTCTGTTTAAAGTGTGTTTGGTGCTGAGTTATCTGCGGGGTAATGCCTATTATGACGCGTGGCAGTGAAAGCCGCAAGGAAGCTGTCTCGCTGATGCCGCCTTATCTTTGCACGATAGCCAGCTGTTTGTGACGGTATGTTGTCTACACAAGGTGTAGGCGCCCTGACCCTGAATGTTTGCTTAGGGCATTAAGGTTTTCAGGTCCTCATGGTTGTATGGCAGCGAAGCATCAGTTCAAATGGCTGATGTACTGCTGTTGTTGATGATGATGATGATGATGATGATGATATGTTTGGTTCGATCAAGCACGAGAGTTGCATGCCACTGCGCTTACCGGGTGACGCAGCCACTACGATAGTGCGTTTGTGTGGGAAGCTCAACTAAATGCACAAGTGTACGTGTACCCATCCGGTTTCGGGTCATAAATCAGACCCAAGTATGGGGAGATAACGTCGACTCACAAACAAAAGAGACTGCCTGTCTACTGCCAGAAGAGGCCAAAACGAAATAGAAAAGCGATCGTTTATGTAGATTAATAAAAATAAGTCACATATTTCAAAAGGTCAGCAGGTAGAAACAAATATGAGGAAATTAAATGTTGGAAGCTGGCAGTTTATAACTGTCAAATATGAAAGTGGAGACTGTCCAATAAAATCACAATCAGATTACAACTGGACGCCTTGCAGTAGCAAAGCCCGAACGCGACATTCGTTGTTCGTCTACTCGTAATATCCAATCAGCCACGATGGCTTTGTGTGCCAGTGGCAAGACTGTTACCAGGGGGTTACAGGGTTACCACCGAATATACACAAAGTTGGTGGCCAATCTAAGTGAGTCCGTGTTAAGGAAAGGGAATGACGTCAAGAGAAAGGACGGTCTCAAATGGATAGATTACCGCACAAATGAGCTGCCCGTGCTAGTCGAAATGCACCCATTGGTCTCAGAGCGATATCAGCGGATGATGTCATAAAATGAACACTGAGGGCAATAGGAATGCTAGCATGCTGCTGCGAGACGATGCACACCGGAAAGAATCCAAGCAAATTTAGCTGCAGTTATCAAGGGGGGCTGGGGTCAAATTCCATGAATTGCCCAGTGGCTTGCACATGAGCACTGATAACGTGCGAGATTGGACTGTATGCGATTTCAGGAAAATATCGATACAGCACTTCGCGAAAGCTAAACTATCATAATCAACAGATGCAAAACTTGCATATTATCATGAGAACAGAAAAATCAGCTGCACCAAGCGACTAGTGGAACATACTTTCATTGTAAATTAAATCAGCTGTAGGAGTATATAGGTCGGGGTAGGCGAATAATGCGAGATCAATGGGGACTGTAGCTTGTGGCGAAGTACAAAGAGCGGGATGTGTGGTAAATGCTCTATCACGAGCAGTTTGTACAACAGGTGATTACGCTTATGTCAACAAATGTGTGTACTGGAAAAACTTCCCGTAGTTAACTCAAAAACGAGATTGTTTATCTCGACTAATACTGTGATTGCATGGATGCTTCACTAGCGGAACACAGTGACTTACGTTACTGGAAAAAGACAATCTCCTAAAAAAATCTGTTTGCAACCCAGGCGTAATACGGAATTAAGACAGGATCCACAGGGCCCATCCGAGAAATTAAGGAGCGGCACCAAACATAAAGTAACGAATGGTAGGCACTGTTTAGACAAAGTAATAAGAATATTATAAAAACAATACTATTACGAGATATCTGGATACTAGTAGTAAAATGTTCCGATTTCTGAGATGAACATGTTGTCGGTATCCAAAATCAGCAGATGCCTGGAACTTACAGGTGATAAAATCAGTTATAACAAGCTGCCTAAAGAAATCGAAGATGGCCGCCTTTGGAAGTAGACCAAAAAAAGTCAGCGACAGTGATAAGGCCATAAGTCAAAGAAGTACCCAATGGGATGAATAACCCAAAAGACACCCTGCTTACCGCTGCCGTATCCATCGACTGATTCCCGACATGTAACGAGAAGGTTGTTCCACAAACCGAGCGTCGACAAGTAGGACAGCGCCCCAGTCATTCATGTGACGAATGCATCGGCCCAGGGCTTGATTTAATGCTCGATACGCCTGGGCGTCGTACCATTCCGATCCGTTTAATACGCGTACCCTCTTCACCTCAGTTGATGACGATCGCGCAGAAGTGGTATCATTAAAAGAGCCATTCAAGGAAGTAATTGGTTGGCTGCAGGTGTTGGATGGTGACTTTGGGCAAGATAAAAGTCGGCGACAATAGTCGTTGAACTCCCGCTTCTGCTGCACCTGAATAAATAAACAGCAATGAAACTGAATAGCAATTGCTGAGCTAGAAACATAAACATTCAGACATTATATCAGAGGGACAGAATCTGTGGAATCGTCATCATACATGGAGGAAACGGAATTAGCAATACGCCGATACCGAGGTTTTGCCGCTGCGCACCCATCATCAGTCGCGTGTGGTATAAGGATACTGCGATGGTCGCCCGGTGCCTACGCAGCTTCGAACCCGCGCCCTGGGATCACAAGGCAGGCTTTTCTGCCACCGAAGAGCATATCACATTGGCTCGTTTTACAATTAAGATGTGCGTCGCATCGCGACTTGAGTTACAAGTCTCCATGAAGCACGCCGGGAACCGACGATTATCCATAGCTGAGGCCACGGATTTCTTGCCAGCAGAAGTTATGCTACGCATCTCTAGGTGCTTGTGATGCGCCCTGCAAATCCAACGAATGCTCGAGTCCCGTATAATGACCTTTTGAAAGGGATCAACACATATCTCTTCATAGGGTTTAAAGGTGCTGTCTTCGCAGACCTAATACGAGTTGAGCACCTGAAGAACACCGCATTTGCGACGAACACGTTCTTTGGCAACAGCTTTGGAAGGCTTATTTTTCAGCTGATTCACTCCGTCAGTGAGCTTCCCATTGGTGGCACCTTGATAAAGTTGTCCTTTACATCCTGCCCCTCCGATTTTAATGCGGTAGACGACGAAGCTCTGATTAGCCTTGTAGTCGAAACGTCGTGCTCGATTCGGACGGGAGGACCGAGTTGTGCGTACCACCGCATTAGTTTGGCGATATTCTCAGCATCTCATGTGCCGGATCAGATTGCTCATGCTGATAAAGCTTCTACAAGTAATTATAGGCTCCCATGCTGACATGACCGAAAAATGAAGGGAAAATTCACGAAGAACCCTCGAACGAACATACATGACCAAGAATGAGAGAGCTGAAAGGTCGGTGCCAACAAAAGGGTGACATTTGCAGAAATAACCGCGAAAAGTACAAGGAAGCATCCCGAGGTGACTTCAGCCACACTCTGAAAGACTGTAGGATGCATCAGTAAGAGCATTCTTGCTCTATGGCCGCGAGACTTGGACCGTTCGAGTAAACTTAGTCCGGAGACTATGTTTTTGGTCATCCTGCCTTCGGAACATTACTGATGTGTTAGTATTCCCCCGAATATCCTGCAGGTGTTTGTCATTGAGGGATTAATTTTCATTAGTATGCCTTGTTAACCAATCTGAACGTTAATTACCCTCTGCTGGAACCATGACGTTAAGCTCGGTTACTTCAGTAACACACATTGATAAATTGTTTGACCTTGGCCGAAAGCACGATGCCTAGTGCACGCTGCGTTCTCCCTAACCTCATGCTGGTGCGCTAGACTACAATATTTCTCTGCTGCGCCTCTGAAACCAATTTCTCGTAATGCTGCTTTGCTTCTGGGCCACCACACACAGTAACGGTACACATCAGTAATGGTGATATTAGTCGGAGGATTTGTAGATCAGACTACACTAATCGCTGAGCTACATGATTTACCGCACCGGCGTTGGCGGTTTGGGCACATACTTCGCGTATTTGCTCAGCGACTACATCACCCTGCTCATTTTACGCCCAATAAAGCCGGCTGGAAGTGACGGCAAGGATACCAATCCAGAACCGGGACTCAATGTGTGAAGGTGTTAACTTCAAAGTTGACCGTGATCGAACGCGTTGGACTCCCAAACGGGAGCGTGATGATCCCGAACACACATGGATGGCGGAAATGATTTCAGGCTCCAGTTCTCAGATTATAGTTATAGTCACTTTTCTTTTCACTGCATGATATTTGTCCAGATTCTATGATTCGGGATCAGCCGTATTACTATCGACCGTGTTGTATATACACATGTATGTATATATGTTCTGTAGATTACCCGCAATTTACTCAGTTTGCGATAGCCTTTTCGACCTTCGAAGATGATGCATATTAAATCACAGTCAACTGCAAGTGACAGACGGTCTCGGCGCTGTAGTCGATCGCGGCTGCTTGGTTTGATACAGGGCGCATAAAACCCAAGAACAACTGTGCTCTAGTAGTACAATGGACAACACGTGGGACGCGTACTCTACTCTGATTTGGTTGAGCCCATGAGCTGCATACTGTTGTCCCCTTGGCTGAATTATGAATGAAGAGAGTCATCGATCATTTCTCAACCTTCAATGAATGGGATGCAGAGATGACATTTATGAACTCCAAACAGTGAACTTTCGTGTTTGAGTGTCTCTAAGAATATTAGGAAGTGAGACAGTGTAGCTCAATGGACATTGAAGACGCGTAAACCATTGTGCCGTGACCAATGCTGAATGCGATCACGATGTGCATTTCAGGAAAAGAGAGTAACATACAGCGCATGTAGATGGTATGTAGAAAATAGAATCGTTGGATAAGATGAACGAGATACTCACCAAAGGGTTTTTGAATGCCGGATAAGGGATTCCAACGGCAATAACCAAACGACCGTAGGAGTCGGCAAAATCTAGGCCCTCACTGACCTTCCCGCGACAGACAGCAAAAACAATCGCTCCAGTTAGTTGCTTATCGTAGCAACCAGGCAAATTATCGAAATCTATGGTGACTTTGGGGTTTGATTCAGAGAGTGGTTGTCGATGCATAACGGCGGAGTCGAATTTGTCCACGAATGAGTAAAATTCTTTCAGCCAAGCATCAAGACCGACAGAAGTGCGAGGTTCTATCATAACGTGTTTAACTTGCCGTAACTGAGAAATCAAGCCTGTGGTCTGGAAAAGTTTCACAGCCAGGATAAAACAAACTGCATTAATCAACAATGTGAATGCACGAGATATCATGGGCTGCATTTAATCATATGCTAGGAAGTATATAAAAATACGAAGCAATAACTAAGGTTGAAAATCGAGAGACAAAACGATACAGAGGGAAGAAAAGGCTAATTAAGGCGAGAAAGGTGGCTCCGATCTGCTTTAGAGATATTACTACAGTTTGGTGCGAACCATGAGCTATTTGTACAGCGGATACTTTCAGATATCCCACATTTGTGGCGCTTAGAATCTCTAACGGGTTTAGGTGAGTTCTCACGGAGCTCTGATTAGTCACGAAGAGTCAGACGTTAATTTCCATGCAAGATGCTAAATAAGAAAGAAGTGAATACTAACTACCACAACAAATATGGTTACATCGACCAGTAATGCGATACATCAGCTCATTGAAAACCAAAGCCCAGTGTACATGACTATCGGTTGAAGAGAAAAAAAAGATCCCAAGACAAGTCGCAGAACCAAACGCACGATTCGGCTAAAGGTGAAGTAGAATACTTCCTAATTGGTAAATGGTGGCTCTTTAAAGATATAAGTAAGCAAGGAAAACGGGTTAAAGAGGAGGCGAAACTATTCCCAATACGGAAGTAATCCAACAAATTTGAGTCAAGTATTGTCAAACATGAGAGTGAAGTAGTAACACAATGAGTAGTTTAAAAGAGTTTAAAGCATAAGCTGACACTTATTAAATGGAAACGTCATGTGACAAACAATAAATAAATCTGACAGTGAGTTAGTTGCATAACCAAACAGTGGCACGAGATATATAGATCGTGCATGGGCAGCGCTGAAAAAAATTAGGCATATCAATAACCGATGCATAAATTATCAGCACATTGATTTTATATGGTGGATTCAGAGTTCGCATATCTGGAAGTAACGAATCTCTACGGAGTGAATGGGAGAGAGCGCAAGTGACCTAAGAACACCCACGATTGCAGAAAATACTAGTAAAAAGCAAAGAGCAAGCCAAGGCCCAGATATCACAGAGATCGCGTGCGTGTAATGTGAACAAGGGCGAAGGAAAATGAAGAAGCCGACAGCACAGCAAAAATGCTGAAAGTAGCTTGGAACTCAGTTAGGTGAAAAGAGGACAAAACAAAAACAGTAACGTCAATGATGAAGTTCGTGCTACTCTCGGTCGCTTTTGATGCTGAGGCGACAATCCACGAAGGAAACAGGTCTACAACTCGTTAGGACGAGCTGTTCTGCTTTATCGGTGCAATCGTTAAGGCTTCCAGAACAAAGAACGATCAGAAAGTGAGGGCTAGAAGTAAGTTGTTGCCGTCCTTCAATATCTCCAGCGGTGCCCACGGCCAATTAATGACTTGGTCAAGAAGAATGAAATCCGCCAGTTCGAAGTTGGCGTCGGTTGTTATGTCCCGACTGGCTGCCTGGGGGTCCGAAGTACGAAGTCTGGTTGAATACACTATTTGGCATAACAAGGGGCTGACCTCATTGGCATTTGTGTTGTGAGTTTCGTTGTCCCTTCCCATCCCGTTTATCTACCCCTTTCAATCACGATCTCTCTTAAAACATATGTTACTAAGTAGTGTGTTGCAGTTTTGCATACTATAACACACAGTATCTTGCTTTTTCGTACGTCGTATCTTTATGTATTGCGTGCGTGGGCTCCTCACCTTCACCTAATGCGTAATGATGATGATGCCCACTGTCAACTTTCTTCCTCAACTTCACGAATGACTAAATCATGGAAATCGCGTTTGATGGACACGAGCTGCAAGGTGTTGAGCTGATCTAAGGTGAAAGATTTCTTGACTTGGAGGATGATAACGACATTGCCCTAATCTGTGACAGCTCACAAACGTGCCAATCAGTATTAGAGAGACTAGCACTGGTTATCAGGTTTTGCTTTTAGCCTTCAAAGTGCTGAACTTTCCTCCAAGATTGGCACGGACCCACTTCTACGATAATCCTTGTTGGGTATCAGCTAGAAGTCGCTCAGAAATTCAACTACCCAGGCAGTTGCATCAGCCCTTGTGGAATCAAAGGCAAGGTCGCGAACTGTATAGTAAAAGTTCGAAGCGCTTTTGCAAACCTTCGCCACATATGACGTTGGTGCTACATCACCCTCATCCTGAAGGGTATACTTAAAAACGCAGCCGTACGTTCGACCCTACTTTAAGGTTGTGAAACCTCACCCATTAGATAAGAGGACGTAAAGAAGCTACGTTCGACTACTGGTGACTTTGCATTTTGGCCCATCTTTGGTGAGAAGACCGCGAGAGCAATGAGCGTGCTCATCGTCTTGTTTATGGCACAGGAAGAGAAACTGAACCGCTCAGTACCGTTAATTCACAAATCTGACTGCGAGGTTTGGACCACGTATTGCGCATGACAGTACATAAACCCCCGCGGCGTGTGTGGTTTGCGCGGCATAAAAGCATAAAGATGAGTAAAATAGGTGAAGGCGTACTTGCTCTAAAAGTCACAACGACACGCGGCCGGATGAGGCGTGAAAGTCCGGGTGAAACCCATCGAGGGAATGCGCCGCATGGAAACAGGCTCCATGGATGGCTGTATTAAGTCACCAGAAGATTTGTATCTATCAACATCTAATATTTTTGACAAACTCACAATCTTTCCAAAGGACTCATCCAATCAATTAGCTCTGCCTCCTCAAAGTCAGTACAAGAAAAACTCTAGAAAACTTGAAAAAATTTTTCCATGTGATTCCATACAGTTGAACTCTGACTTGAACGGTGAAGGAATATACAGTTATATTTTTATTCACCACAACTTTATATGGCCCATGCAAGGGCATGGCGTCACCTGTATCAAATGTGGACGCAGCCTCACACTTGACGAAAAGTATACCTATTAGTATTATTATTATCAGTAGTAGTAGTAGTAGTAGTATAGAAAGAGGCTAACCCATGACGTGGACAGGAGGAATGGAGGCCGTAACTTTGAAGTTGGCCTCGGTGGGAGCCCCTCTACTTCCTGGTTGGGGTCCGGAAGACGATGAGCATATTTGGCTGGATACCCTTGTGGACATGGCATTTGTGTGGTTAGTTTTTTGTCCCCCGACCCCCCGCTTAGTTTTCTCCTCCAACTAAGATCTCATTCCTGACGCATAATATTACCTCTATTGCGGCATAATAGGCGGCTGCTAGCGCTCCGGATCGTTGTTCATCCGTTACTGGTGGCTTAACTGGCGTGCCTGTGTTGCGTCCTATTTTTCTTCTCTTATGTATTGCGGCACAAAAGTTGTGGGGTACCGCAACTCTAGTCAAAGTGTATAAGGATGACGATAATGGAATGACTGCGTTTAACATCACCATCACCAGAGTATGGCTGGTGTGTGCGTTGGCAACAGCCCATCAGTAATGATGACTACGGAGCCAGGAAGTAGGCCGCTTCACTAGACTAACGCGTTGTATGGGAGGCAGAATTAGGGGCGATGAGCGAAATAAAAAGTACTAGTAGACCGTAGTTCCGAAATAACAAGTTAAACATAGTAATACGACAGTCTTGCGAATAAGTGAAACGACTTGCAATAACGGTAAGGTAATGGGTACTTGTATGATTCAAGTAGTAAGCAATGCGAATGCGTTGTCAAGGTAGCATAGTAAAACAAGGAGTAATAGTTGCGTAAAGCTGTAAGTCTCCGGTAGTAACGGAAAGTAAATAAAAGTGAAATCTGTAATTTTGTGGCCAGCGTCGTGTCGGACGACAGGTGGCAGAGCACAGATCAAGTGTGCGGCCAGAAATCTAGTAATAAACAAGCTACTCATTAATTATCAGCAGAATAGTTCACTTTCGTGAACTTTGCATTCACAATATTTGTCGACGAATTTTCAAATCAGACAGGCTGTGCCGATTAGCGGACGGTACTGATCCCCACCCCCATAGCAGAGGACCCGGTGGGTTAGATAAGTACTTCACATGCTTGCTCGGCGGTAACATTGTTGTGCTCTCTTTGAGCGCGCTGACGCTAGCTGAAATTGACGCTAGGGCGATCGGCCCATGACCTGCTCTAAGATTGTGAGGGTGCTGGCCTAAAAGTTGGCCGATGTAGGACGGCACTCTTCTGATCAATTATTTCGTCTCATTGCCTTCAAGCGCAATTTGTGGCAATCTGTCGAATGCACTGCTTTTGGACAGCTTATGACATGCCAAAAGAACGAAGAAACTGGCCAGAAGGCTGAGTCGAATTGGCTGGTATCGATTGTCAAAATGAAGGTCTGATGACTGACCACGTGAGCGATGCTAGATCGTCCCTGGCGTGATGTACAGTACAGTGCGCTCCTGCATTCGGTTTTCTGCTACCGTGGACAACTACATCAGAAAGGTGAATATCAGTGGAGGACGAATTGTGTTATATCACACCCATTTGCCCCATCACGACCGGTGTTGTCATTCTGCGTGGCCGAATGGTATCAACCCACCGACTCGGAAGTGAAGGGACGCGATGGAACGAGCGCTGCTGGAATACCACGAAAAGACGATCCGGCCGTCGAGATCTCGGATGTGTACTGGCAAAGTTGTAATGAATTTTTCAGAATTCGTTTATGCTTGACCTCGATTGCTTAGTTTCTGCCAACCAGTATTAGTATCACTGAAATGCAAGCTGAGGTCTATCGAGGGATGACAATGAAGAACCAAATGTGATATGCAGGAATGAGATTACCATGCATGAACGTACCTCCCATCGTTGGACCAATTTGTCCAGTAAAGCGTATGATGGGAGAAAGCAAAGGATACCACCAGGAACTATGTAGCATGCCTGGAGTATAAGTTGGCCCAACTCATCCTGGTATGTGTAAGTGCTTTGGTGCTGGTAAGTGCCGCACAAACGGATACCACTGGGACCGTGGGATAAAGTGGTGACAATAACTCTGTCCGCAGTGATCACGTGCCCAGCCTCCAGTCGGATCGGAAAAGTTACTCCCAGCTCCGCTTCCAACGCATCCAAAGGAGACAGAGTGCCGCTGACGAGAATAAGGCAGCGTGCCTCGGAAGCCAATTCGGAAAACACAACGGACGGGTTGAGACACCAAAAGTTCAGACTGAGCTCGCGGGATTCCGTGTAAGAGGGCTGAAGAGACGGGCAAATGTGATGTACGAGATTAAGAATTGGATGAGCAATGCAAATAAAATCATGAAAATTAGAGGGAGTAAGAAAGGTCAAACGCTGCAGTGATGCGGTGAAACGGAACAAAGACATCCACCGGAAACGGTGGACACAAAAGAATATAGCTGTGACTGGAATGCGCAAATAAATAAATTTATTTAGTTATTTAGAAATCCGTGAGAATATTTGTAGCTCGGGATGCGGATGGGTATGCGGGCGTTCTCCGAGTTGGCTGTTTTGGCTGTAAGCGTTTCATCATCAGGCTAGATGACATCATCAGTGCGATGTATGCGGACCACTTACAGATCCAAGTGATTTTTGAGCACTTACTGATTCGAACGTCAGGAGTCGATTAGTCCACGTGAGCTGACCGTGTAGTCAGCTCTTGCGTACTGTTGGCTACAGTCCCTCTTACTGAGGTTCCTTTGTCCAGTTGATCTAGGGCAGAGCATTGATTTGACCCTCAGTGCTTCATAGTCAGTATCTAGATCTAAGTGTCTGTTGATTGAGTTCTTCCCCGAGTACCAAGCCTCGATGAACTCGCGTGCTTTTCGAGTTTTTGCCTTGCGTATGATTCTGACATTCTCCAAATCAAACTGATGGTTCCCAGAGTCCATTTGCACCAACCTCAGAGAGTTCCGGTCATTCCGGTGGATGGCTAGGCTCATGTAGCCTAATGCCGAGCTTCCTTCCTGTCTGACCCACATAGTATTTGTTACAAGTTTTGCCGTGGATTTTGTAAATCATACCACTTGTTTCTCCCTTTCCAAGCCGGTTCTTACCATAGAAGAGTTTGTCTCGAACAGTTTCTGTCGGGTTGTGAGCAACTCTGATTCCGATAGGTGGTAGCAGTCTCGCCGCCATCTCAGAGACGCCGTGGATGTATGGTAGAATGATTGGCTTTTTATCCGTTTCTGATGTCTGTTCATGCCTCGGTCGTTTTATTGATGTTAAACAACGTAGAAGGAAATTCCTGGGATACCCATTAGGTGTAAACATTTCGAACAGATGATCTTCTTCCGCTTTCCTCAGCTGCGAGGTGCTACAATGTGTCTGAGCTCTTCTGAATAGTCATTACACAGCTGCGCTTGTAGACTGTTGGATGATTGCCGCGATAATTCAGGATATGAGCTGTATGCATCGCTTTCCGATAAACTGTGGTCCAGTAGCATGTCATTTTACTAAAACATCTAAGAATAGTAGCTGACAATTGCTCACCTCTTCTTTAGTGAAACGGATACCAGGAAACGTGTTGTTTATTATCCGATGTGTTTCTTCCAATTTCGAGCGCTTTAGGGTGGCAAAAGTACCGTCCACGTAGCGTAGCACTTACTTGGATATGGATGAGCTCAGAACGCCGGACCGAAGGAATATTACATATTTGGCGACCCTGCCAGTTCATGACAACAGTCCACGAAGCTAGATTGCAGCCTTTGGGGCAATAGTTAACTTTTTTCTATCGTGCTGTTTGTCGTTGAATCTCACGAACCTAATATACCGCGCTCAATGCCTCTTGCAGGTATATAAATTGATGCGCTGAGGACAGCGTCTGCTAAGAGGGGGGATAATGTAGCCGGTACACGGGCGTCTCGGTAACACGTTAGCAGGTAAGAGGTCCATCGGTTGCGCTTCCTGTTAACCTTACCTTCCTATTCCACTCCGGCACTTTCCCTTCCCTCTTCCGTGCTTCCTTAGTTGCCTCCTTTACATCGGCCTCTTACTAGGCGGTTAAGCATTCAGCAGTCTACGAGGCATTTATTTTGTATTGCAGCTTGTCGCACGACTTGGACACGGAGGAGCTCAGAACGCCGAACCGAAGGAATACTAGTTATTGTTCCTGTAAATAGACACTAATGTGTTTGCAGTGGAAAGGGTATAGTAGTTCTTGTAAGTGAATCGGGCGATTAAAGTAGACCGTTCCGCCGAGAGAAATGAACTTGAGACGGGATAGGATTTGGATAAAATAGGCCACTAGAACCATGGAGCAGCAGAAACAAAGATAAAGTGCGTTAATGTCAGATTCTGTGAAAGATTAGCGCACGTAGTTATCTCTGTCCAGTGACCAAAGCTGTTCAGTCCGGCTCCGTGAAACAAAGTGAGGTGAACCCTATTATTCTGCCTTATATCACCATGACAGCACAGATCAGTTCAGTTAGAGAACGATGATCTGGTTACTAAAGTACGGCGGATTTGGCTGCCACAATTCGCATCACTAGGATGACAAGAGATAACAAAAGTGACAAAAGGAGGTTGAATACAAGCAGAATGGAAAGAAAACTAAGTTATAAAAGAGAAACAAAGCTCTGAAAGCACAGGTGGTCAAGCATAGCCAAACAATCAATGCCTTCAATGCGAAATGGCTAGGTCTCTGGACTATAGAGCAACACCGACCTTATTGTAGTGTCAGACACCCTACCTTTCACTAATGTGTAAATATTCCACCATCGTCAAGTGATTGAGAATCATTAAAGCCGCGTGGTCGTTGTTGATACGCAAAGCAACCTCCTCAGTACTGTAACAACCAGAGGTGAAAAAGATACCAAGTTAAGTGAGTTCATTTATCACTTCCAATGGTTGTGCGGCGATAGCTAGCCAGGTCTTGTAATAAAACTTGGCACAATCCGATGCTTAGATTACTACGCACCACTCCATCCAGTAGTGCTTGCAAGGCACTGGGTTAAACACAAGGAGAGCTAATGAGTAGACGGATTTAGGTATGAGCTTATTTGGTTCATCGCAATTAGAGTGCCTCAAAGTTGAATTACCAATCCTGAAAAGCACCAGACGATTTTTTCGTTCTATTTGCGGCTCGTTAGTGGTGTGTATTTCCTCTGTCCCCTGCTTGGGATAAAACCGATGCCGCTAGTGGCTCGCATCACTAGGCAGCAGCTGTGGTCCATTTACTCCAGATTTGTCAGTTGGTCACTTAGCTGAAATTCTACTGCAGCCGTTGAGAGGACAGTCATGTATCGATTACAAATTTGAAGAGAAATTAAGATACACAACAACCCTAATGAATAAAGCTGTCTACTAGACAGCTTCCCGTAGACCATTACCTAACCTCGGGAGTCACGACAGTGAGACAACAGGATTGAAGAGTTTCACTGACAACCTCTTCACGGATAGGCAGCAACACAAGCAGGTAAAGTCAAAGGAGTTGAAGGCTACTTTCAAATCAATAAAAAACTACCATAGTCAGTCGTCTGCTTTTTTCCGCTACAATACTTGACGAAGAGCAACTATGTGGTCAATGCAACCACAGCTAGGCGAAAACTTAACTGGCTTTAACGTGGACCAGTAAGCCGTCGAAAAAAGATGTGCGCGTAAGGTCTAGAGGCAATGGAAATAAAGTGAATCACTCGGTAAATTGCAACCAACGTCCGTTGAAGATGGGCACGACACTTGACAGTCGCCAGTCCGAAGACCCCTCTTCAGTGTCCCAAACCGTGTTGAACAGAGCTGCAAATGCAGTCAACAAGAGTCACCATCTTTCAGAAAAGATAGAGAAAGCTGTCAGGTTTAATAGCCTTAGCACGCTTCAAAGTGGGAGGTGTGATATGGACTCACCCAAAATCAGATGATTCGGTAGGTGATGTTGCAGCAGACCTGCTGTACTGCTTTTCGAAATGTCCCACCTAATAGGCTAGTCGACTTGGCTGAGAATGGATTTGCCGTCAAGCTTTCCTAGTTGTTGCATAGCTAAATGATGGCACTTTTGGACCCGTGTTTCGAATGAGCTGGAACAGCACTCGGCTGTTCGCAATAGCACTGCCTCTCACCATCTCACGGGCTCTTGTCCCCCCAACGTGCCCGATTAATTCGGAGATTCCTTGTCGATCAGTAATTCAGGACCTTAAAGACACTAGAAAACTCAGTACCTAACTGAACCTGATTGCGTGCTTTAATCAAAACGATCAATGCCAAAGAGATCCAATCACAATTCGAACGTCCCAAGGTGAGTGTGCAGCAGGGGTCAAAAACATTCTTCATGACGATTCCGGTCAGCGTTAGACCAACCAAATGCATTCATCACGGACAACTGGTGCGCTAATTCGTCATGATAGTGTTGAACTGCGGACTGCGAGTTTAAGTTGCCAGTGAGAAGCTTAGAAGATAAGCGCTTCTTTGAAATGGGAATAGTGAGCGCCAGGTGCGCGTTCACTGGAATATGGTCGGAATCCAGACATGCACTCTAAATAGGCCAATAGTCTTGAATTGATGCGTGCCATCTGTAATCAACCGCAATATGGTCATTAATGTTCAACCACCATGAAAATGGCGGTAAAAGCGATGCGTTCGGATAAAATAGAAAAAACAAAGCGGAAAATAGATCCCAAAACAGCCGGATAGAAAGAATCACATTCACAGGAAATAAGGGAATGGGAGATTATATCTGAATTGCATAATCGGTCACGCATGTAATATTGTCTAACCTCAGCGCGAAGTGCTTATTCAAGAAGATAACATCAACCGGTCTGAAATAATGTAACAAACTGATAAGATTGTCAAAGGCTTCATCAAACAAGGTGAATCCCAGGCGAACAGCGCAGACCAAAGTAGAGATGGAAGAGTATAGCCTAGACAGTGCGTGTCTGCAAGTTCAACACGGGGTCCAACGCGATAGCAAAAGGAGTTGGCATAGAGCATCAGCCAACAAATAACACCAATGACTCCATCAGATGCTTGAAATAAGTTGCAAAAAGAAAAAGCTTATCTAACTCGCCATTCCACTCATCAAACAATATATACAATATGACAATGGTCTCGCTTCGGGACGGAGTAGAAACGCAATTTTAGTCACATCTGAGTAGGAGAACCGGGGATGCGAGTGTGACTTGATAAGGATGGAGTGCCACGCCCTACAGAACAAGACATTGATTGTTTTTACGTACGATCAATGATAGTAAAATGAGGTGGGTGCAACAAGAAGATGCCCATGCATAATAGAGCACGGAAATCCGAAGTGGGATGACTTCGGCTGAATGAGAATGCGACAAAGAAAGACTGAAAACGTAGGAATGGAATCTGATTAGCGTAGCCTTTCGTCATTACCAAACACTGAAAACCTTGCGATTCCTCATGCTGAAAGAACGGGCTTTGAAACCTGTTCGAAACAATAAGGCATCAGCAATACGTCGACACACCGTACCGACGCTTCGTTGCCACGCAACCACGACCAATGACTAGTGGAGGCCGACAGCACCTATGCGGATTGAACCGCAACCCACATACTAAAAGGTAGGCCCTGATCCCTTTGGACACCGATCGTTAGAAACAGCAAGAACATAATTGAGCGCACACAGAAACTGAGTAACATTGAATAAAGGAGGCTTGTAGTGGTTCCCATCGGTAGAAGGCGTATGGACTGGACAATCTGGTTAATTCTGTGACGGGGGAACAAAAGTGTGCCAAATTCGGAAGAACAGACAGCAATAGTGTCACCGAAAAGGTAGAAGCCACTCGGAATGCTAATATCGGGGACGAGGAAATGAAACGGGAAAAACAGTGAATCGTTCCACAAGGCTACAAAAGTTGTTTCTTGCTTTTAGCTGGGTTAGCTGTGGAAAGCCTTCTTCAAGCAGAGTAACGAATAGGAGACACAGTGCGATTGAGTACCGTGTCACAGGTTCAATAGATACAAGAAACATGACATCTCACATATTAAAGAAATGTGCAGCATATGTAGAACTAACTGATGACATCACATGATATGGACAATCATGTGTCAAGCGGATTAACCTCCATCTGAGTACATAAAAAATGAAAAAGCATCAGCAGTAGGACCGGTATAAAATGACGATGTCTCAATCACATGCAGCGGGGACTCGAACCTTAAAGGTATCCACTCGATGCTTCATCAGCGAGTTCAAAATTCTAATGTTCTCAACTTGTGTCCTAATGACTTACATACTTAAATAAAGAAGTTGGAAAGGGAGCGATTCCGCCAACAATCCCAAAGGCGAAAAGAGATTGGTAAAAGCTGATAGACTGATGCCAGATGTATGGATAAGGAAACAAGCTTATTAGATGTAAACGCACTGGGAACACCACAATAGATATATACCGCCACTTCGGATAACTGAAGATACCTATCTTTAACCGGTGGATGCAGATGAAATGCACTCGCGCCTTGAATTCAATGGTGCCGCACTGACTGAGCTGACGGAACAAGTAGACACTTCAAAACCTAAGCGAAATAATAAGAAACATTACTTGAAGCGACCCTCATTGGTGTTAGAAAGCTGTAACGAGGAATGCATTCTATGCCATTGTGAGTTCCAGCAGAAGTGGCAATCTGTAGAGAAAACCCAAAGCCCTTCGAGTTGAAAAGAGACCCGTACATTGTGCATGATGACAATGTGAATGAAAGAAAGCACCGCGATTTGGTAACAGAATGTACCAGAAGGTCTCGGAATGTTTGAGACTGGAAGCATGAGTTTAGTCGGACCTCCATGAGGCAAGCCGCATCTGCCATAAGATGTACGTAAGTAATGAGAATGTTGAATGTGATAAATGTAAGCCATAGATCGACACGTGCATAAGTCGCTGAGCGATTTTCAAAATGCCAAAAACGCAACAAATATATAAATTAAGCAGCAAAGGTGCTCCGTGGAACGCATGGATTCGTCGTGCAGGTGCTCCACATATAATAGAATTGAAGAACCAGTATCAGGGCTAACAAAGATGAAACAATCTAAATTACAGTGCGTGTATAGGGAGCGACCGCAACGCACAAAGGAGAACGAACCTTGGATGCACGTTTGCTGAACCACGGACTGGTTGTAGTTGTTTCCGGGTTCTCGTCAAAGGAGTGGTGGTTAGAGAATTTGCGTTCGTAGTTTATGCTCTCCATCAAAACGACGCGATAATCTGTCAGATTCGCTTGGTTATTACTAAAAACATGAATGAAGGGACGTTTATGATGTGGAGGAATAGGCTAAATCAAAGTTCAACATCTAAGCTGGTAATAGCATTCAATAAGAGTTTCCGAGGAAAGGAAAAGCTAACACTAATGCATAACAACCAGTTGTGACGAATGCAAGGAAGAACATCCGAATACGCACGCTAATCCCTTGTAATCAATAAGTAGTCCAGACTGCTTACAATGTCATAAGCCAATCGGTGGTTACGGGGCTAGAAGTCCTTGCTAGGGAGGCTGCCCATCTTCTGCACGGCAGCAACGTGAAATTCTGTGGAGTGAGCCGCGCTAAATCACAATTAAAGTAACTTTGTCCTACCGGTTGTAGCCGATCCCCGGGACCTGGTGGTCTTAAGTACCGGGTCGTGAGAGTAGGGTTTTGGGTTCTAACCTCACGGAAGACAGATGGATGAGTGCAGCAGACAATCACGTGTTCTGTTGTTCTCTGAGCTGGGCATTTTCGCTGCAGATCCTCCATCATCAGGCTAAGCGATATCATCAGTGCGATTTTCGGGGTCACTTTCAGATCTAAATGAGTAGTGGTCGATTACCGCATTAAACGGCACAATTCGACGAACTCGGCATGCCAATCAGAACCACGGCTCATTCAAATGAAGAGAGCGGCAGTGGAAGCTGGAGTTGAAGTAACTCGGAACACTGGTAGCTGTTGCTTTTCAGTTGGGTTGATAGGTTGTTCGCCGATCAAACCCGGATTTTCATACGACCAGCGTCTGATACAAAACCGCTATTCCTCATGCATTACTAATGCTACCTCGAGTGGTAACAAAACGTCTACTATCGAATTGCGCAGATCAGTGAGCAACTCAACAAAAGTGTTGAACGGTTGTTTCTGTAACAAGCCAGAGCACACGTTTATATATATATATATATATATATATATATATATATATATATATATATATATATATATCGGTTCGCGTCACCCGGTTTCGGATTTGTCTGTCACTGCGGCCTCCACGCGGACAGTCACAGCACGCCCGCGCCTACAGAGGGACCATGGATGGCTTGCGCTGCACCACCCTCAGCTCCATCCACACACCCCATATCCAGTGTAAACATGAAGGAATAACACCGGGAGGCATGCGGATGGGAGCCACATTTCATCAACGGAGCTGGCCCACACTCCTTCACAGGCCAACACAAGCATGCTCTATTTGGGAAATTAAGCACACACAAGGCGGTGGCTGGACCGCGGTCCGCTCCATACTGAGTGCATGGAACCACATTTCAAGCCTAACATAGTCACGAGAACCGTGCACCCCGTCCTCTCCAGCAACGACTAACTGTCTCCTGGAGCCAGATGGACGAGGTAGTGGGTAACAGAGAGGTAGGCAAAGCGCCAACATTCACATCAAGGGCAGCCGTGACATAGTAAGCAACAGCCAATCATTTGAAACGGCGATATCAAAAACTTACATCGAATAATGAGCACAGATACGGTGACAACTCATCAACAAATGAGCATATGAAATAAATCAGCTGTCAACAAATCCGAGATAATTTTAGGACATCAGAAAATTTATTATAAAAAATGGCACAAATGTGAAAAGGCTATCGAAAGTAAGTAAAGTAGGAGGTGCGCAAGTTTATAGAAGATAGTTCAGGTAGATTTTTAAAAAAAGCATTACGACAAGACAGCGAACCTACTAGCTGAAATATAGAGACTCAGTACGCAAGCAAGCGGTTAGTAGGTCGAACGCAGTGTAACTAAAAACACCGCACCGGTTCTCTGTACGTTCTCAACAGGGCCCGTAGCCTTTTCGATGCTGGTCCCGAGTGGCCTCGCTCATGGCTCACTGGGCCTGCCTGACACAGGCACTCGCGATCGCATGTACTACAGCACCAAGCGCTTGCCGCTTCTTCTCTGCATGCACGAAAGCTTTCTCTTGCACCTCGGCAACTGCCTTCAGGTCGCGCCATGCACGCCGACCAACCGCCTTCGATTCCCAACGCCTGAAATCAACATTAGAACGTGAAAGACTCACCATAATAATGTCCTTCTAACGAAGCTTCGGTTGTCTCGCATGCTACTTCCCAACACTCAGCAGACCATATAACAGCTGCTTCGGTATCCGCGTCGAAATCCAAATGGCAAACATGACCGAGCCACCTCAAGTGTCTCAGCAAAAGTATGCAGTACACTACATACATTCCACTTCGGTGCAATACCTCAGTATCTGCAACTCTGTCTTACCATCCGATACGCAGAATACGTCCCAGACTTGAAGGCGCCTCAGATATTCAGACCGAAGGGGCCAAGTTTCATTACCATAAAACAGGATGGCCTTCACTGTGGCCTTGTATACATGGCATTTAAGACGGAGGGAAACCCCTTCTGTTACCATAGATGCCGCAGGTTCAAGAAGGCAGTTCTGGCCTTTACAGTGCGTGAACTGACTTAAGTTTCTATGCGCCCATCGTTGCTGATGCAGCTGCCAAGGTAAGGGAATTGATCAACCATCTCGATTTCCTCGCTAACGAGAATCAAGAGGTTATCAATGGCAATGTGTTCAATTTGGGTCTATCACTGGCCAGCTACAGGAGGACGCCAGGTAGCACTTCGGTACCCACGGTGTCTAAAAGCAATGCTACTAAGAAACAACTCACGCTCCCCACACAGTTGCGGCAGACGCTCACCATTGTCCATACAGTCGGAGTTAAGCCCATGATTAGCACCCAGCTGAGCTTCTGAAGAGCTCAGACGCCCTACTTGGGCATTCATATCCCCTGCAAGTACTATAATATCTAAACTAGTAGCACTTCGTAGTAGCGCGTCCAGTTCTTGATAGAATATGTCCTTGACAGCACTAGAACTGCAGTTGGTGAGAGCATAAGCGGAAATCACAAACAAGCAGCACTCTGTACTACTTCGTGTATCAACCTTAGCTAATGTCGTCAAACGGGCTGCACGCAAACGGCTGTTCACCGGGATCCAATCAACCAACAATGGCTCAGCACTGGGACTTAGAATGATACCTACATCTGCTTGACTCGTGAGCACTGTATCAGCGTCTTTGAATGCGTGCGACCAATAACATCTACAGCTACAGATATATATATATATATATATATATATATATATATATATATATATATATATGTATATACATATATATATATATATAGACTGCATCCCCAGCGCCTTCACTGTAATCAATTTCGTAAATGAATCACGAGCGTCTCTAAAATAGTTCTCTCCGAGTTGATACAACTACTACCAGCACTCAAAGCAATCCCGATGGTCATGTTCTGTAAGCCTAGCTGAACGACCTCGTTGTGTCAGCTGGGTGGTTCCGGTCTACCTTGTACCTGCAAATGTTTCGGCGGTAGTGTTCCAGGATGTGAGAGTTTTCGTCTGACAAGCATCCTCGAAATAACAAATCATAAATGTCTACCTAACACCACTGCGACGTGGCTGTTGTGAATCTCCATGAACTAAAGTCAAGGCCCCTAGGTCATCCGAATAATCATATGCAATACATTGACGCCATCAAATGGTCAAATTCAGCAGCACATTTACAAACCCCAGCCACACCGAGGATACCAAACAACAGCCAATCACTTGAGAGAAAGATAAAAAAGAAAATTAACCGAGTAGTGCATAAGGAAACGTGAGCATATGAAATAAGTTGTTAACAAAGGATCCGAGAGAAGTTCACGAGGTCAGGAGATATATTTTACGGGAACGACACAAACACGAAAATGTTATCGAAATTAACAACAATTGGCTTAAGCGAGGTGTGCAAGGTTATAGAAGAGAGTACAAGTAGACATTTATATGAGAAAGAAAACCATTAGGACAAAATTGAAAACTCACCATCTGAAATAAAGAGACAGCATGCAAACACGCGGTTAGTAAAACGAATGCAGCATACCTACAAACGCTGCACTGGTTCTGCCTACGTTCTCTGCAGGACGCGGCGTCGCTTCGGTGTGGTCCCGAGTGGCCTCGCTCATGGCTCACTAAGCCTGCCTGACTCAGGCACTCGCGACCGCATGTGGTACAGCACCATGCGCTTGATGTCGATGAAGTACAACCCATCGTTGCTTGCCGCTTCCTCACTTGCCCCTTCTTCTCTGCATTGAAGAGGTCATTCTCCCGCACTTCGGCAACATGTGGTTGGCGGCATCCGGTTTCGGATTTGCCTGTCACTGTGGCCAACCACAGGACGCCTGCGCCCACAGAGGGACCATGGATGGCTTGCGCTGCACCACCCTCAGCTCCATCCACACACCCCATATCCAGTGTAAACATGAAGGAATAAGACTGGGAGGCATGCGGATGGGAGCCACGTGTCATCAACGGAGCCGATCCACACTCCTTCACAGGCATACACAAGCACGCTGTATTTGGGGAATCAAACACACACAAGGCGGTGGCTGGACTGTAGTCCGCTCGACACTGAACGAATGGAACCACACTTCGAGCCTAGCACGACCACAAGGATCGTGCACCCCGTCCCCTCCAGCAACGACTAACTGTCTCCTGGAGCCAGTATGGATGAAGTAGTGGGTAACAGACAGGTAGGCACCTTGTCAACATACACATCAAGCGCAGCCACACCTGGAATGTCAAACAACAGCCAATCACTCAAAATGCCGATATCGAATAAAGTAAACGTATATGAGGACATAAATACTCGCTAAATGAGCATGTTGAAGAACTTGGTTAGAAGTGAATCCGTGATTAGTACAAAATGTCCGAGTTATTTTAAAGATATACCACGCGATACAATTACGCAAGTTTACCACAATTTGCATGAGTGACGTGTGCAAGTTGGGAGAAGATTACCAAGCACGCAGAACAAACCAAATAAAATGTAATGAATTTTATCCGCATTAAAAAGATCTAGTCTAAGTTGGTTTAGCGCAACTGCGGTGAAGAAGCATCATGAATGCAACATCAGCCTCAGCATGGGGCATTTATTTATTTATTTATTTATGCATGGAATACGGAAGCTACGCGACATAACACATATGAGTGCATCTGTACGATATACGACAATCTCGGAACAGACATCGCAAGGTGATTGTTTTAACAATATGAATAATCCGAAATAAAAAGTGGCAAACAGTGAGGCAAAAAATGTGGATAAAAGCTTTAAAAGTAGGCAGTCGTTTAAATCGGCCGCTGTCTTTTACTGGAATATCGTTCGCTAAAACACAGTAAATGCTGTAAAATGCGGGGCCGGAGTCGAATAGTGAGAAGTGTAGTAAATTGCGTACTCAATCAAAGGTCTGCAGTAATGAGATAAGGGCAAGAGATGCAAAGAGCATTTTCGAATTATTCGTTCAAAAGCTGAGAGCGCAGAAAGACCAGTGGCGGGATGAGTGGATGACTAAGTTAAAGAAAACCCACTTACTTTTCCGTTCCTTAAGGCACAGCCACGCAAAACGAACCCGCTTTATCGCCCACGATCGGGATATCACGAAAGTCGGCAATATAGCGGGGTGGGCAATTAATCGATATTGCCATTCTTCCCAAAAGGGAAACAACCATTGAATTATTGCATCGTATATTCCTTGAATTGTAACGGGCTAAGAAAGATAAAATAAGTACTTCCAACTGACGCCTACAAGACGTTTACTCAGAAAAGCACGGCCTATAATTTAAAAGTTATGACATAAAGCATCTTCCCTGGATAGTTACAGAAACTGGCGCTACTGTATATTTTTGGTGAGATAACAATCCAAAGTCAGTTGTACATTAATTCATGCAGATGCCCCAGTCACTTTTGCTCTGATGAAGTCTACTTGGGATAAGAAATTGTTGCCTCACCCATGCAAAAGTCGGTAGCCACACAGCTTTTTGCTCTTGAATGCAACACGCGCTGATTGCTGTCACGGAGGCATCCGGACCGTCATCCTCTGAGTTGCTGCCTTCTTTCTGTTCTAGTCGGTTCGCTAAAATTTTACTGACGATTTCATCGTCAACAGTTGTCAGATCTGAGGTACATTCCACATCGTTCTCAATGGCGACGAACTCTTCCGCACTGATGACTGGGATTGTGCAGATACTAACCTCTTCCTCAGCGATGATGGCGTCATCAGAAAGTGCATCATACATCAGTCGACTGAAGTCAGCATGCCGAAAGCACGCTGTATAGTTGCACTGGTAACCTGTCTTTAACATTTTGAAACGAACTGAATTGCATTGCGCACAGAAATCTTGGCGTTGACATCCATCGCCGATGAGCCAAGAAACACATTTTTGATGTCATAAGGAATTCGGTGCACAACTGCCTTTCTGTAACGGGTTCTCACATTCGTAATCACACTTTGGTCCATGAGTTTAAGAACGCTGGTCGTGTTTGCCTGCAAAAATCCCATTTGAATGTCTTTCAGTCCTTCTACCTGTGGATGTGCTGTGCAATCATCCAAGAGCAACATAACTTCTCGTCCACATTGGCCTAGCTCCTTGTCCCATTCGAGGACACACTCGGTGAAAAGTTCTTTCGAGATTCACGCATTTTTGTTAGTTCTGTAAGTTACGGGAAGTGTAAGTACGTGCATGCCATTAAAACATCGTGGTTTCTTACTTTTTAAATAAATACTATATTGCTTTTATTCGTGCCTGACATCCGTGTAGTAAAGGAAAGTGATCCTAACCTGACGGGCTTGTCGGCAGCAAAACACAAAGAGCATTCTGGAGTTGCTCGATAAAAAAGACCTGATTCGTCTGCATTGTACGCGTTGTCATAACAAAAAGCATTTAAAATTGCAGGCAATCTTTCAGGGAATTTTCACAGACTGCTCTGTCCGCGGAACACTTTTCGCCATGTGCGCGTTTGAGTTGTATGCTTTCATCTTCGCAAGCGCCCTTCTGTGGCAGCACATGTTTTCCCAAGTCCTATCCCGAATTTTTCTAACTTTTTCTTCAGAAAACGAGCTGTAAATGTTTGGTTGTGCTCATGAATCGAGATGCCCCAGTCTTTCAGTGCAATTTCAACTTCTTCATCGTTTCCACGTCGCTTCCTTTTCTGAGAACTTGCAGTGCCATGCGACAAATTCTGCCGGAGTTTCTTTTCACTGGCAATTAATCTGGCTAGGGCAGGACGAGAAGTGTGTAGATCACGCGAAATCTTGACCTGCTAGGTTTCTGGTGGATACGATTTAATTTGTCCAAAACGTGCAACTTTTCTAACAAGGACAAATTCTTTCTGTTATTTTGCATAATTGTGTGTAACCAATAGAGTAGTGACAAATGTGGAGCGGAAAGTTGACCCGAGTTTGCTCAGTTCTCGAGTTTTGAATAGGGCCGACGGTATGCCCACAGCCGTCTGTACATTTAGCTTGCTCGTGTATTGAATGACATGTAACCTTTTCGTTGAAGGGAACTAACTGCTTTTTCGATCTGTCAATAACGCTACCGACATGTTTGTTGTTCTTGACTCGATCTGACTGGCTAACTGTGAGGCAATTTTAATAAAAGACTCAAAGAGAGGGCATAGAATTGACAAAGGGACAAGAGCATAACCCACGCAGCTGGGCAATTAAGCAGTGGGACGACCCCGGTAATGGGCAATTAGACGGCGAAATTTTAGTCTATTTTTGAGAAAAGAAGTCGTATTTCGTAAAACTGGGCAGTAAAGCGAGGTGGGCTGTAAACTGGGTGGGCAACAAAGCGGGTTTGACTGCATTTACATTCACTGTTATGGCAAACATGTTGCATTTTTGTATATTTCCGGATGCTGCATCACCCTCTTTCCATAATCATGCCTGTGCAGGCGTGCACGGCGTTGACAAAAATAAGCAATGCATTTCTTTGTTTATCTACCGGCAAAAATTAGTCGTTGTGAACACCGACTTGATCCATGAGAAGGAGTACAGGTGAGGTTTGGTAAATAGAAGGGTCTTTAATGGCGGTGACGTTTTTACGGCCAAAGAGCTGTTTCACATACACTGTGTCGTTGGCTGGAGCGTCGGTCTGGTGCAAAATACGTCACTCCATAAAACCATATCAGTTCCTCCTCAAACGTTTATATAATCTCATCAAGACCATAATGTAATATTACTGATCTGCCATCACAATACTTAAATAACTAAGACAGGGGTAAGCATGGCCTGGAAATCCAAACGACCCATGCACGCTTTCTAATCGGAGATGAGTTTGTTTTCCACTGCATCTACGGTTTCCAGATCCCACGTCAATATCCAAGTTTCGTCAAAAGTAATCATCTAACTCAATAAATTTGGTTCTTCCTCAATGCGTCGCAGAAGGTTCAGACGCAAATTCTTTGAGACATTCCGTTTATTCATCTGACAGAACTTTTGGTAAGAATTTTGTATAAGCCTTTATCGTGCTCGATTCTTCTTTTAGAATTCAGTAACATCCTTCCCTACCCGAACACCCGGGCCTTTGACCATTACGAGCTACCTCTCGCACTTTGTCAATTTCGTCACCTGTATGTGGACGATCTGGGCGATCATCATCATTCACGTTTGGATGTGAAAAATCGATGGCGCCATTCAAAAGCGTGTGTAATAAGCAAATCTTCACTGTAAGCCTCAGTCCGCAATTGGAAAGTCCCCATCGCAGATTTCTCAGCCTAAGAAACTAAATGGTAATCTGTTGTTCACTTATGTAAACCACCATTTCGTAAAGTATTCCCATTGACTCAGAAAGTAACAATTGCGCTAAGAATATTCCTTTCGATAAATCACTTCAGGCATCTACAAGTATAAAACAGAGCTAAGACGCAAATAAGCTAGCGAAAGCTTCGTCATAGGTGCACAAATGAACCACAATTTTTCAACCGAAGCTTAGAGCATGCCTGTAGTTGATGATGCATCTATTCGTGCAGAGTAACGCTATCGACCTGAGTCATGTAAGACTGTGACTGATCAGAACATGTTCCGTAGTCGGTTGTCTCTCTCCCCAGCGCTATCTTCACCCGAACTATAAGGCTACTTTCGCTTTTGTGTCTGACCCTGTATCTCAGGGCCTGTAAAAAAGTCCTTGTCGACCAAATTGCTCATGCTGTTTCTCCGTACTGAGGCCAGTTACTCGAACGGTGCATCGTATGTGTCGGCAAGCAGCACAAATAGCGGTTACGGAAAATATCCTCGTACTCTTGCATGTTGATCGTAAACGATACAAAGAAATTCGAGGTCGCATGCGGTCCATGCGATGCGGGAATTCATCACCAATGCACGATGGCTGAGGATGAGAAACACACCTCAGCTAATGTGCAAAAGAGCAAATAAACAGCAAAACAATTAACATCGGGTATGAGATCGCGGTTTGAGGAGGATACTAAATGGGAGGAGGGACAAAGTGTAGAAGGTTAAACACATTATGTCGCCTCAATTGCACACCGTACACACTTCACAAGACTGACTAGCAGGGAAATATCCATGTAAACTGACAAAGTATAGGCGGGTGTGATGGATAGTTGCAATTGACAATACTTAGGAAGGGAATAATAAAATCTATTGTTTTCAGTGCGCTATAATCAGTGGAAAAATAGAAATAGTAAAAAAGCACTAGCCAAACGAAAGACTATGAAAATTGCATCGAAAGAATGGAGACACTAACCGAAACATGTACCGCAACACGACGAAAAGAGCCTCGAACAAATTTGGGTTGCTTATCGATGGTCTAGGTGGCTCTGCACCACCAGGAGCCCTGTCATGCCGATCCTTGGCCTCATAAGATGCCTCTGCCAATTTACGAAAAGCTCGCTGGAAAGATAAAGGAAAACCGGTGGACACAAGGCCAGAAAAGTATGCAATGCATTAGAGTATCTGTGTCGTGACCGATTAGAAGAGAGAACAGCAAAAATAATTAAAAAATACCACGTGCAGTCATATCGCCTTGAAAGAGGATTTCGAAACGCCGGTGGCATTATGTGTTCACTCGGAGGAAGAAGTTTGACGTTGACATGATACGGGCAAGAGTGGGCGCTGTAAAAGTACAAACCTACGGCCTCCTCTTGAAGGACAATGCTTGCGCCACTGGAATGTGGTGGACTGAGGTGACTGCATTACTTAAGGGTCGTAGGCTTTATTGCCACCTGAATCAAAGAAGTGTAGTTGATGCCTACAATAAAAATTGAAAGCATATGCTTCTCCGGGTAGATGGCTGACGTTTAATTGAATTCACCTGCGGTGAATTGTTCGGAAATACCCCAAACTCACTTCACTAACGTACCACTGTGTTGTGGTTTCTTCTTTCCTCAAAAATGTCATGAGGAACGTCTAACATGGTTCTCCGTACCTATTTCATACCTGCAATCTTGAATTGGCAGGGATAGAAGTCCGTTAGCCAGGTGCTAACCAGTGAGAGACCGAGGGGCGACCAGAATCAGCCAACGAAAAGTGATGACTACCACAGCTAGACCTAAGCATTTTCTAGTAGTAATAGCACTACCAAAAGTTGCTTGTTCAGCAATATAATTAGAGCAGGCACCGCAATAAACCCTATATTGCCCTCTGGCCGTATTGATTTTTACCAATGTTGTGACCTGCAAATCGTATCGCGTCCTTAGCAGTTATGAGCAAAAAGACGACATAAATGATTGAAGATGTGGAGTGCGGCCAATCGATTCACGTCGTCTTGTAAAGCCATTGCAGAAAAAAACCATTAAATGAATATAAAGGAAAATTTTGTAAAGAAGATCAAGACCATCAGAATAGCTGGGTGAAATAAACTTACTTCCATTGTGGGTATTTTGTCGGGCCCAATTCCCACGGTGGCAAGCAAACCGGAGATCTCCTTACCGGTCCACACCTGCGCCTGTTCAGCCGTTTCGCCAGCGCGAACCAATCGGGAACGCGTAAGCTGCATCAAGCGTAGCATTGCATCGACCTGGAACAAACAACGTCAAATGTGTCAAGATGCGGGAGAAACGCAGTAAACCATTTAAGGGGTTGCAACGAGCTATTTCATCTACAACATCTAGACGTTCTGAGCAACGTCCACCACCACAAAGGTGCCATCAGTGTATCGGGCGTAAAGGTGTGCTAGCTGTAAGGACCGACACAAGTAGTTGTTCCCAAGACAGTACTGGGAAAAGCGCGTTTCCCCAGGAATGTTATTCTAACGGCTCAGGGTTGATCTGACTAGCTGGTACCGATTGGACAATTCAAGGGCTGTTACTGGTTGAACGCGAACTTTTGAACAAAACTCACAATGTAACCTCAGTCTAAGTGGTCTGCAGAGGCAGCCTTTGTTCCTCATGATTCAGAGGATGATTTTCCTGCTTGTTGGTGTTTACTCTCACTCTCTCTCCCTCTCTCATGGAGCGTGCCGAAACAACAGATTTTTGGCGACAGAGGTGGGATTGGTGCAGTAAATTACGCATCATCTCGATCGTTCTCGACTACCTGAAATAAACGTCAGAAGCCTTGTTGCAGAAGTAATCCAACCAGTCTGCTTAATCAGCCGGAGAGCAACAAGTCGACCAACATGTGAATAACATCATGGAGTCTACGCTGCTGCTGCTATGGTCACTTCCACATCCTGGTTCAACCGTTATGGAGTGCTGTTTCGCATGAATCTCGCAAACTAGGAAGTCTGAGCGTGTACGAGATTTTCGAAGTCCATTTTGCGCAAACTTCCCGAATCATGCAACTTTAGTGAAACAAAGAGTGTCTTGTCTCTCACTTTCGGTGACCACACGTCATAACTCAAGGTGCACTTCAATTGCATGAAGCTGACTCGTAAGGACGGTGTCGACATTGTTATTGATGCAGGTATTCTCAATTTCGAATGTGAGTGTTTCAATTTATCGTCCCTCATTTGTGGTTTGAGGTCACCTAAAGAAAGTGAAAATCGTACCCGGATACTGCACAAATTACAGCAGAATGAAAGTCCCATCTGCAGCAGTGCACCACCGAATATTTGGGCCTCATGAGTGTGACGCATGATACAGCGATGATTCGGAAGGTTGAGCCAACTATCACTACGGTTAAGACAGTTGACTACAACCAACGCACTCCCGAAATCCAACAAATTATAGACCACACTGGAAACCATCGTCTCCCTGCTGACATTGTGGCCCCTGGCATTTTGTAAAAAATTGCACATTCAAAAATCACAAATGTTTCAGGTGCTCCAAAATTGGTCCCAATGATGAGTTTTGCCGAGGCGAAAAGACAGGTACACTTCACACTGCCAAGAGGCGGTCCGTGCCCAAACCTGTGGGGAAATCATTAGAACCTTTGACTGCATTCAAGATTGAGGTTGCATCCTGAGGCGGCGCATGTGTCACTGTGGATGAGCATCATGTTGGGCTTCAGCTAGACACCGACTCAAACGTCACTAGAATTTCTTCCTGACTCCGGGAGTCACATGTCACTACCAATGCATGCGGCGTTAGAGTCAAACAGATCAGCCAACTACACCGTTCTGTTTTATTTCGGTCGTCACCCATCGACCTTGTTTGCTATGCGTTGCAATCCAACTTGAACCTCTTGGACTTGTAGCCGTGCTCATTAATGATATTTGTAATGGAATTCATGCCTTAGAGGCTATTTCACCATCGGCTAACTACTCGTTCAGTGAGCAGCTCAAATATATATATATATATATATATATATATATATATATATATATATATATATACTGCACTAAGGATGTAAGCCTTTGTTTAGACCATCGTACACCACCACTTCCTCCCCCACCAATCCAGCCACTGTCAAGTGCGATTATGAAGCAGAGAATAACCAAACTACTGGAGTAAGTACTTCATTCAATCCAGACGATCTAGAGCTCAGTGTGCCTCAGCTACCTCACAACACACAGTTCTCAGATACAAGAACGATGAAACAAACATTACCCACCACTTTTACTCCAATTTAAGGATGTCTTTCAAATCTGTCGTCATTAACATTCGTTCCCTTTTACCTAAGTTATATCTACTTGCAACACTTTTGTTTGTGAGATCCCCCGATATTGCTTTTATCACTGAAACTTGGTGCACGCCAGAAATTAGTGATCCTCAGCTGAACCTCTTGGGCAATAAAACTTTTCCACAAGGATCACTCACACAAACGTGGTGGTGGCTGTGCCATATCTTCGAATTAACCTCATTGCAATTCCCGCAAATCAACCTGTGTTCAATGGCTTAGAAGATAGACTATGGCTAGTGATCCCATGTACTGATCTTCTAGTGGGTTATATCTATCGGCCGCCCCGAACTACTCAATGTGAAACCCAAAAGCTAATCGATATGATCAATGCTGCTTCCAGCACCACATACAAATCCAAAATTATGTGCGGAGATTTCAACCTACCACATGTTAACTGGGTGCTGCCTACATTCAGAAACACCGCGGAGATTGAGGAAATTATCTCATGTATTCACGTCAATGGCTGGACCCAACATGTTAGGGAGCCAACCAGAAATGCCACTATCTTAGACCTTGGGGCTGGACCTTACCGTAGTGCGATGGTTTGTGTGCCTCAGTGATCCATTGAGCTATGCTTGGTGGTGCTTTTGCACCTTCAGAGTCACTCATACCAGATTGGTCAATGGTTAGAGGCCAGACAAACTCAGCCTCCTGGTCCTCCAGGTTTGGGGTTGGAATGAGGGTGGCACCTTATTCCTTAAAACGGACACCTTGTAGCACAACGCCAAACCCACTGCCTTGCGGTCAGGTTTCTGAACCAAAGGCTTTGGTAAAGAACCCTAATCGTTCTCCTGTCTAGGCCTGGGCAACCTGACAGTATCCTGCCCACGCAATACAATGAATCTTTCCTCAAACAATTTCTTGATGCTCTGGCCACCGCAGAGGATAACCAACGGTGCCCTACCTGATGCATCGAGCAGGGTGGATAGGGGATGGGATGCTACTGCTCAAGCCTTCCCGTCTTCTTATTCCCCCCTTACGCTTTTCACTCTTACCGTCCCCTTCCAACTTTACTTATATCCTCCAAGTTTGAACCCCCCCCCCGATTCTTGGCCCTCCCCTAACATGCTTTGCTAGGCATTTATCTTCTAATTTCAACTCACATGCTAACGCGGAGCATCACTCCTCTCCTGTCGACAAGCCCATGTCCAACCAATCGGTCCATTCCAGTTCATCGGCTTCCATTTGGAGCCCTCGATCCTCCTTCAAATTGGCATGCCTCAATGTACGCACACTGCTACAAATCGGTCAACAGGCAGCACTTGCCCGAACATTGGAGACCCTCTCGATCGATATCTGCTGCTTATCAGAGACGCGCCGGCAAGACTCCAGCTCTGTGCTCACTCTGCGATCCCTTTCAGGTGACGCAAGCAGTATTTTCTCATTGCGCCTATCCGGTGATGATGCAGCTTCGAGCACCAGCCAAGCTGGTGTTGGCATTGCCCTGAGTCCCCGAGCTGAAGCTGCTCTGGTTGATCGGATTCCAATCAGTAGCCGGATGTGTGCGGTCCGATTGGCTGGCTCGTTTAAAGCTTCGAAGTCGCGCGGGATTAGCAGGTGTCTATTCATCATCGCTGCCTACGTGCCCACAAACTGTGGCGATGATTCGGTAAAGAACGACTTCTACGGCCAACTGACTCAGTTCCTTCGCCACAGAAGAAGCACGGACAATGTTGTGCTGGCGGGGGATTTGAACGCACAAGTTGGAAAGTTGTCCACTGATGAAATGCACCTGGGCGGTCAGCACGGTGTAGGCTCCCGTAATGATAACGGTCAGCGGTTACTTCATTTGTGTGAAGATGCCTGCTTATTTCTTGCGAGCACTAATTTCCGACACAGCACTCGTCGGAGGGTGACTTGGCGCCCACCAGCCTCGAACCAGCCTTGGACGCAGATCGATCACATTGCTATTAGTTACTGCTGGAGAGGCTGCATCCAGAACTGTCGCTCGATTTGGAGCACATGTGTGGACACCGATCATGCACTTGTATGTGCTGACATGCGGATGCGCTTTGGCGGATGTCCACGACGACGATGTGAGCGCATTGATACCAGCCAACTGACAAAGCCAGCTGTTCTGAATGCGTATCGAAGTACGCTGACATGCGAGTTGAGTAAGCGCTCACTGGAGACAATTGATGGTCACTGGTCACATGTTCTTCATACATGACTAGCAGCAGGCAAATACTCATGTGGTATGTCCAATAGTCAACATGGATACTGGGTCTCTTCGCGGTCTCTGGAACTTATCGACGCTCGCAGGCACATCCCAGCTGGAAGAGAACATAATGAAACTCGCAAAGAGCTCCGGGCAAGACTCCATGCCAGCCTGAAGAGAGACCGCGAACCTTGGTGGTCTCATCGTGCGTCAGAGATGGAAGTGGCACGGGCAGCAGGAAACATAGTGTTAGTGAAACTATACGTGACGAGAGTGGACAGCCTATCCACAATTTGTCAAAACGTTTGGAGCGTTGGGCTGAGCATTTTGAAAAGCAATTAAATCGGCTAGAATTGTTCGACTTCGCCGGCCAGCCATCGCCCTGCTCCGTGGGCTATCCCTTTGGATCCACCCTCTAGCTCAGAAGTCGAACGTGAGATCGGACTGTTGAAGTTAAACAAAGCCGCGGGACAAAATGATCTTCCTCCAGCCCTCTTCAAATTCGGGGACTCTACTCTTGTTGATGCTTTACATGAATTACTAGTGAAACTGTGGGAACAGGAGACTGTCCCAACCAACTGGAGCCGATCCGTTATTGTTCCCACCTTCAAAGGAGGCTCGCGTTCGGAAAGCGACAACCATAGGGGAATCAGTCAGATCTCCATCGCCTCCAAATTACTAGACTCCATAATCCTTCACAAACTGACTGGCGCTCGTGGAAGCCAGATTCGTGAGGAGCAAGCCGGGTTTCGTCGGGGTTGTGATTGCATCGTCAGTTGTCGGAGCACCGTCACATA